TTTTAGATACTTCCTAACCCCTGAACTGAAACAAGAGTATACTGGCTTTAAGTAAAGACGCGTTGGTACACGAGTGCTTGAATTAAAAAAAAAAGGAGAAGGGACAGCTAAAGAATGGAAAGTTAACTGAGGCTGCAAGTTGAACTCTGACCTTTCTCACGCACCTCTTGCAAGGTGTAAATCTTATACAAGAAAACATTACTGATCACTGGACCACAAATTACTTAGTAGCTCTGCTGAACACGGATTTCGAAAAGGAAAAAGTTGCCTCACTAACCTACTCGAAACTCAGACATCCTAACAGAAGTTGTCCATAAAAGTCACCTAACTGACGTTATATTTACTCAACTTACAAGAGCATTTAATAAAGTTACGCTCCATTGTCTACTGCACAAGCTGAAGCGTATAGAATGACTGACACCTTGCATAAATGAATCGAGAGCTGGATAATCTAACACCTACGATGTGCAACTCGTGGTTATAACAAATCAAAAAGGAAAACAATGGTTTTTCATGTATGTATGGGTTCTATTCAGGGGAGTATGGAGTACTATACTCCCCTGAATAGAACCCAATCGAAGAGCTCTTTTTAATGTTAAAATCCAATTTCAAATCCAAAAGAAGTGCTTAATCCATAATTTTTAAATAAGAAATAAGTCCCGTTATGACTATTGAAGTAACTCTAGAATATATTTCATCACCTGATAATAATTATAGTCAACAGTGCAATCCCTTTTATATAAATATAAGATGGTTGGAAAAGGCATTAAGAAGAGAAGAATTTATCTAATTAAATACTTAAAATTATTTGTTTATTTTTAATTTTTTTTAATGTATTTTTGTGCATGCCTTTTTAAAAATTTATGATTAAATAATGCATATTTTTTTTAAAACTTAAAGTAAGTATCTAATCTTGAAAAATTATTGATATATAACAGTATCCTAAATCAAGTATAAATCTTAAGATTTTTCACTAATTATTCACTTTTTTTAAAAAAAAACAAACAAACAAACAAAAAAACGCTTTTTGATTACTATGATGCAATTTAATATAATATTTTGCAAAACATATTTAATCTTTTAAAACAAAAAAAAATTAATTTCCACAAAAATATATATGCACTTATAACTTTGCAAACATGCACTTATAACTTAATATGGAAAACCGATTGTAAAATGTATTCATAAATGTATAAGGTAATAAGGTAATATGTCTTCTTCTCGCTCCAGTTATTTACTTGATTGTATTTGTATGTATATGAAAATTGTATTTAGTGTAAAAAGTTAAATAAACTAATTTCATTAAGTTCAGACAACTGCAAAATAATTGGGGTTATCACCTATCGTGATAAAACCTTAACGTTCCACATTGGTCGGAAACATCACTTTTCTTGGCCAAAACTTAAAATAACGGAATTTTTAACTGGAATTTGAATTTGCAGTATATTTTAAGTGTTTTTGTATAAAATAATAAATTTTTTTTTAAAAAAATTATAAACATTTAGAATTAAAATTAAAAAAAAAAATTTTACATAAATTTTTTTTTTCTTTTCTTTCTGAGTTTTTATTTTTTAGTTCTAAATTAGAAAATATACGATACTTACGAGTAAATATGTTGTTTCTGGAAATTGAAAATATGATTTACACACGAATTTACGAAAATATTAAAATTTCATTAAACTCTTTAATTTAAATACAATTCATTATCTAAAAATGTATATTCCTCTTCAAGTTGTTCAGGATAATCGTCCTCGTCGCCATCCATATTTTCTAAATTGTCAGTCGCACATGTTTCACCAATATCCTCACAATACAATAATTTCTTTATTTCTGGTGGCAGTGTTAAACGCTTCCTTTGTTTAACACGTGTATTTAAGCGAAGAGATGAAATTAATGGATCCGATGTGTTAAGAGCTCTATAAAATACATTGAAAAGATTATCAATGCGGCTAGTCTTAAGTGCATGGTGCAGTCTGTCACTTTTATATATTTTGTTTCGTGACTCAGCTGCATCCTCTCCGAAGTAACCAACAGGAAGTGCTGTATTCTGCATTATTTGCTTTGAGTGAATTATAACTTTATGTACTGTGGGAGTCATTGGCAACCAGGGGTACTTGCTTTGATATAATTGACCAGTTTGAAAGCAATACTCTTCAAATTTTACCAAATTTGTAAAGGAACCTTTGCACATTTGTCGTCTACAAGTACACCATCGGGTCTGCAATTACTTTTTATTGCTAATATATTGTCATAGGGTGGATAAATATTAGCGTTGCGTTGCTTGCTTTCAGTCCGGATGGAACAGTATTGGCTCTTCAAAAAATTGTTTTCGAGAAGAAATGCTAACGCTTCCTCATCAGACACTACAATAGGTGCTTTTACATCATCGACATATAGCTTCCTATTTTTTGATGATTTTGATGGACTTTCGATGGTTTTTTTTTAAAACAACTGCCAAATCTACTTGTCCTTGTTTTCGAGCCGAAATTGATGCTGCTTGAACTAACAGATTTGTTTCGTTGTGTTCTGACATCGAGAGGTTTGCTGCTTGTCTCCTCTTACTTCGTTCAGATTTCTCAGAGTACTTAAGTTTACGTTTAAGTACGGGCGTCCAGTTAGTGATACAATTTTTTCATCTGGGGTTAGTTCTACTATGCACTGAGTCTCTGTGGAAGCGATTTCTAAATTTATTTGCCTGTTTATTACAGTTTCTGAACAAAGCCAGCCAGAATATTTAATTTGAAAATCATCTCATCTTCTATGACACTTTTCCCACTTTGCAGACAAATTATTGTTAAGCATGCGTGCTTTTTCTGTTAAATATTTATAGTATTCATCTGAAATTTTATTAGCTACACATTTTTGTATAAAATAATTTATTAGTGCGTCCTTATTTTTTCCTTTCTTCTGCTGGGACAACCAAATATCAAAAACTGCTGAATTCTGTAAAAAAAAATGATTCCTGAAAAAAAAAAATTTACTCAAAAACCGCAAAAAACCGCAAATCGAGATAAACATTTTCAAAAACTAAACACTTCAAAGTAATTTTGGTTTATAATCTTATGCTTAACACTCCTAAACAAAATGTGTTAAGCTTACTCAAACTTAAAAAATAAAATAAATTCCAAAATGTTAAAGACTTTTGGAAAAAGTTATTTTATTTTTTAGAGTATCCAAATTTTGAGTATTATATTTTACAAAATTAATAAACTTACCATCACCTTCGTTTTCCATTTAAACTTTTATTTAACACACTTTGTTTTCAGCTTTAACAAGCAATTGAAGTAAGCACTTTAAAACACCGATCGCAATTCTGTTTACAAATGAAGCAAACAAATTCAACTTCGATGACTCACAGAATAACGGTGAATTGCATATTACAACAACAAAATTAATTTTTGGTCGTTTTGGAGTGTAGACTACTAGATTTAAAAAACAAAAACATATTTCGTGAGTGTAAAAATTTTGACTTTTGGCCAAGAAAAGTGATGTTTCCGACCACTGTGCGTTCGTGAAGATATATAATATAAATAAAGGTGTGGTTACTAAAGCCTTTTAACCTATTTTAAATATTCGAGTGTAATGCAATATAGAAAAAATTAATACCTACCCTACAGTTATTCAAATTTCTAAAATGAAGCAAAACTATATAAGTAAATAGAACAGGTGTTTTAATTTGATGAAAAATGACGATTTTCAACCAAAAATGAAAAAAAGAGCTCTTTTCATTTTTGATTAGCAAACAAAACTTTGGTATCTGCATCTAATGTTTGTTTAAAATGGATCGGTATTACTTTTATCCATAGTAACACTTTGATTAATCCGTTGATACCCATTTTTACAGCAAAACTATACCACAAAATGACAGCTATTTGCTGGGGAGAAGTGGGACAGCCTAAAATTTCTAATTAGGAGTAGGGACTAAATACACCCTAATGTTAAAGCATTTCGTGTAATGGGTAAAAGATTGCTATCTCTTTTGTATGGGTACCAAAAAGTATATGGCATTCAAGTCTGGAAAAATGACATTAAAAAATTTACAAAAATGCTAATACTTAATTGAGTTTTAGACCTAACTTTAATCTTTTAGTCCACGACCTAATAGCATAAATAACTTTTTCATTCTGTTGTGAACACTATCAAACCAATATTTGCAGTCATTTCTTCTGATAACTTTTCTCAAAAATATTTACATGGTAAAAAGCAGAGTACCAATAAATCGTTAAAGCAAATTATGAGATTTCTAAGCGATATACATCTTGAAAGAACTGCTCTAAGAATATTGAATTAGGACCAGGTGTTATAAATTCTAAAATTTGTAACCCCTCAAATTTATGGGGGGCTTAAATTTTGTATGGTTACAATTTTTGAACGCTGAGAGATAATGAAACCTAAAATTTATCGATGAATATAAGTCTAGTTGAAAGCAGTACGAAAAAAAAAACTTTTATCAATTTGTTGTCCCTCACGTTTGGGGTGGGGTGATGAAGTTAAAGGGCTTTTTGTTCCCAGCCTCTAATCATATAATCTCAATGGCATTTTTATTTGATACAAAAGTTTGGAGTTTTCTCCGTGTCTGGAAGCTAGATATCTTAAACACCAAAAAATTCTGAATCCGTCATTGTATCCAGTGTTGTTTTATGAAACATAACACATTAGAGGATTCCCGCAGATATTTTTGCAAATGTTGTTTTTTTAATCACCCTACCTTATGGTGATCACATTAAAGAATTGTATTACTCATAAAAATTTGACTTCAACACACAATAGCCTTAAAATTTGACAATAATTTAAAACTTTTAACTTTAGAGTCAGAACGCTTAACAACTATTGTAATGGTAAATGTAATGCGACTTGTAGGAAATACCTAAAATATTGACTTTGCCTAATTCCAAGTTTTTTATTAGTTATTATTCCCAGTTTTCTATTAGTTTTAATGTTGTTTTTAGGTCATCGGACTAGGCCGATAAATTTAATTAAAGGACGATAAATAACAAAAATTTTAAAATAACTTAATCCCTGAATACATCAGTAGATAAGTCATTTAACATCGTAACATTTACTTCAGCAATAATTTACGTAACGTCGTTATGATAATGTCATCGATATTTTACATCGTTAACTAAAAATTTACAACATTCTATTTATATTAACTACTTATTACATAGTTTAGCATAATTAACTTACAATTTAAATTTTTTATTATTTGATTTATATACAAAGAAAAAAGTAGAAAAAAACAAACAAAAAAAACAACTACATAGTAGAATTTATTGCAACAGACTCTTTTGTTCGAAATATACCTCTCGTCAATTGACGATTATCAATACTTGCTAATGGCTGACGATTTTCTTCTTTACTTAGATTTATATAATCAACGACATCAATTTGTTTTTTGTGACAACCTCTACAAGCTGCCATATATTTATCAGCGCCACCAATAATTTCTACCTAAAGATTTAAATTTAAATTTTTAAAAGTTTTTATTTTTCTAAAAGTACTATTCTTTTGCAAGAAAATTTTTACAAACATAAAACTTTTGAAGGATTGTAGTAGTTTACTTTTTAACTACTGTAGTACTCATAACCTTGTGGGAAATGGACTAGACGATTTCTAATCGGAAAGAGCTTAGAATCATTTAATAACATTTTCCAGTAACGAAACTATATTCAAAATTTCTTTTCTATAATGAAAATATATTCAATGCTTAGCTACAAAAAAGTAACTGATAATTTGAACATATTATAAGTATATCAAAAAATTAAAGAAACTAAACAGATCTTTGTATTAATAAAAATTAAAAAAAAAAAAGGTTTTGTTTAGGCAGAAAATTAAGTTGCATTTTTTAAAAATTTCTTACAACTTGTATAAATTCAATTTATTGAATTTATACAAGTTGTAAATTTGAAATTAAGATTTTTACTTTCGACTTTCTTTGCGAAGCCAATTCTTTTTGAAAAGAGAGTTTGTATCATTCTATAAGAGACCAAAAATATTAGCAACCCCAACTTGCCCTATTTTGAGATAATGTGGTTTTATACATTGATGAGTATTTGACTTTATGAAAATCCCGGAAAATATTTTTCTATGATAATCCCGGAAAATTATTTTATTAAAAATTGATCGCATTTAACTGACAAACCGAATTTAGATTATTTTAAAACGGAATTTGGATTATTTAACTTTTTACAAAAAGGAATTTCTAATATTCGAAACAGTTTGAATGAATTAAAAAGCAAAAAAAAAAAAAAAAAAAAGAAAAAAAAAATGTTACGAAAATTGATCTTGTAAAAATTTTAATTACAGAAAACATATTTGTTTAAATGCAAAAGTTGTCGTATGTAAAATTTTATGTAAAAGTATATTAATTTTTTTCCAGTAAATTTACCGGTAAACTTTCCAGTAAACTTTACCTTCACAACACTAATAGAAATGAACTGCTTCAAAATATACTTTTTGATTAAATTTTTTTCTCCCCTCGACCATAATTGACCTTATTTTAAAGATTTTTAGACTTCTAACTTATTTACATCTTACAAATTTTAAATAATTATTTTCAAAAAACTTAATTTTGGCCTAATTTTAAGTTATTCCTGATCACTGAGCATTATTATGAATTAGTTGAGCATTACTATTATATGGTTGGAAACCTTATTTTGCAGATATAATAGGAGCTCATAATATATCTGCAAAATAAGGTTTAAATAGCATTTAAAAAAAATACTATTTAAAGATATGAAGTAGGTTCTATGTAATAAGTTAGTTGCAATGTTTTTGAAATTAATTGCATATCTCTAGCATTAAGGTACTTAAGTACAAAATTTTATTTATGTGGTCTTTTGCATTTTTAAATATGAGGGCAAACTCCAAGTTTTTATTATTTTCAAATATATTATTTTTAGTTTATTTTATTCATTTGTATGCAGCAAAAATTGTTTCACTAAAGACTTTTATTTCAGGATGACCATAACACAATGTATGTCAATCAATGGTCAAACTGGGAACATTTTTTATTACACCATATTATAAAAGTAATTACACTTTATAGGAAAAGTAACAATAGTTAAAAAAATTTACTATAGAATATAATATAGTATAACAAAGTTAAAGTTTGATTCTCTAAAACCTTACCTTAGTATCTGAGCCCAACCGTTTTGTAAACGAGGCTTCTCCATAACAACACATACATACTGCTGACAACTTGATAACACTCTCAGCTAACGGAACTAGATCAATCACATTGCCAAAAGGCTAAACAAGTTAGTATACAATCATAAAAATAATATATCTATAAACACATTGAAAAGTAAAGATTTTTCATAAGCAAGAAAATTAGTAAAAAATACTACATTGATATATATATATATATATATATATATATATATATATATATATATATATATATATATATATATATATATATATCAGAGGCTATTTTAGGAAAATAATTTGGGTGGAGGTACCTCCATGCCGGTGCCTGTCATAGGAAATTTTGCAAAAACATTAATGTATGTTGGCATTTTTTCACAAAGAATACTAAATTTGATGGAAAAAATTCTCAATTTCTGAATTTAAGTGGTACCCAAATATGGTCAACGCTGTCCTAAACGCTCTATAATAGCCCTTGGGTCAAATCATTATATTTGGCAAAAATGCCAGAATTTTTAAATAACCCTATTTTTAATACAACTTCGAAAACTGACAACTTCGAAAATTTTACAGAAAGAATATTCTAAATCTAAGGAACATTGATTCTCCAAAGATTCTGATAATATCCTTTTCTTATTTAATTTACACAAAGGCACCAGAGTAATTCTTTAAATATTCTTTTATAGTTGATATTTTCCTGTTCTACCTCAAATATGTTGTTTGCGCTAATATGTATTACAATCTATTTTTTAGTTTGACCAGCAAATAACTTTCAATATGAACATTTAAGCTTGTAAACTCTCAGGCTATGAGTTGTTGGTGAGTTTTAGCTTATTTTACAGACATATATTGCTGTAGGCCTTTTGGAGATATATATATAGGGCATTTAAAAAAAAAAAAAGAAAGTAATTTAGAATTTTATTGCTGAGATGTTTTGTAGAATCTTATAAACATTTCTTATAAATACATTTGTAACAAATTATAATTTTCGCTTTACATACTTTTTGCTACACTTTGCAAAAGTTGTTTGACAGCCATTTGACATCTCTAGTTTAACAGATTCTTTAGTTCTCAATCTTAAAAAACATTTATTAGTAACCATTGCAATAATCTCCATTGTTTACAGAATAGTAATACAGAATCATTTTTTTAATCATGTTTTTTAATGTATTTGATCATTAAGTATCTTTAAAAGTTGTCTGAGATAAAAATGAAATTAAAACAACAAATAATTTATTTAAAATAAATTTTTTGATGTTTTAATTATAAATAAACTAATTCCTGATACTTCTAGATTAGAATTGAGTCGGGCATGAAATTTTTGCTGGATTATGATCAACAGCATCATTACCATACAATATAATAATAAAATTATGACCATTAAAATCTAAATTAATTTACAATATATGTAATCCATATGATTTTTTAAAAAGTAATTGATAGTATATGTAATCCTTATGATTTTTTAAATTTATATAAGTTTTTGCTTTACTATATGGAAATATTAATCTATCAGTTGTTTTTTTTAAAAGTAAGGCAATTTGCATGTTTTTAACCAATCAGAATGTTTTATAAAAGAATTTTTTTTTAAGTTCAACTTTAGTTAAATAATATTGAATTTAAATTCTTTAGGTTGAAGTGTAAGAGTTATCATTATTTTATTAAACTTGATTTTGGATGAAGAATTTAGATGATCAAAAACTTTTTACGTTTTGAATCTCTTAGTGACATTGATAGCAACATTTTTTCCTTTAATGGTCTTTTTTTAATGCATATTCAGCAGGAGATTAAAGATAGATAGTACAACACCAGCTTTTAAACAAGGTTTATTCAAATTCTCATAAATGTAAGCTTCTTTATGGAAGTAAACATATATAATTAAAATACATATATAAAATATATATAAAAAAGATCTTTTTGTTGCCATAGCAACAGCATTTTGATAAAGATCGTTATTTTTTTAGAAGGAATTTATGAAAAGATATATGAGTATTTTTAATAAAATGTTTTGTACAACCATAGGCAATACAGAATATAATGATTTTTTAATTAAAAAAAGTAAAAATAATGTCTTAAAAATTTTTTTTTCTTCTTTTCAGTATTCAATATGGCTTCGAATGCCTCACAACTGCCACTTGAGTTAATTATTTATGTAGTAAATATCAGTGATTTCTAGTTAACGAACATCAATTATCTCATCTTGAGTAATTTGATGTTATAGGCTACTTTAGTTTTCCCAATAACCATTTTTTAAGCTATAAACTGTCAGAAAACAGACTGAAAAAGTTGTTCTATTTTTGAACATGATCTTTAAAACAAAAGTGCTAGCGTTAACTAGGTTTTAAAGGCTATCACATTTTATACATGAAAACTCTCATAAAAACCATGTATTTATTTTATTGCTTGTCACAAAATGTATTTATTTTATTGCATGTCACAAATAATGGTCACTTTTCCAGTGTTGTTTATTATTACTTTTATTGACAATAAAAAAAAACTTAGAAAAACCAATTGTTTTTAAAAAATTATTATTAATATATTTTTACATTTTAATTAAAATATTTTTACATTATAAACAACTCTTCTTCCTACAATCTGTTTTTATAAATTTTAGAATGGTTCCAAACTTCAAACATTATTTTAGAAAAAAGCAATTTTTTTTTAAATATTTGGGTTGAGGGGAAGACCTTGTTTTGTTGGAAAATTAACTTTTTAAAAATGGTTTGTATTTCCTAATAATTTTTACATTATATAACTATGATAATATAATGATAACATGTCAGCTATAAAAAAAGTTATTTTTTTTTCATAATATAATTTTTTTCTCAATATAAAAGTTGTAAACATAAAAGAACATTAAATATTAATGTATATTCTAATATGAAACAGTACAGTATTTTTTATATGCTTGTATTGTTATTTATTTGTATTGCTATTTTAAATTTTAGTAAAACTTGTAAATAGAATCTTACAAGAAAGACTGTAAATAGATTTCCCAAACAACAGTGGCGAATGAGGCAACAAATTTTTGATGGATAAGTAATTTGAGAAGCAGTAAAATATAAATCCACTACTACTTAAATTTTTATTTTTATTTAAAGTAAGAAAAGAAAACTACTAGTGGTTTGGAAACACCACTAGGTGCTCTAGGTTATAAAAGTTTTATTAAGTTTTTACATTTATAATAAGGAAAAGCTGTTATATTGCTTTGTATATATCAATAGCTTCTGTTATTTATTTTAGATTATCATACAAAGTACTAAAGCATTTGAACGTGCAGTAAAGTATAATATTAAGTTTCTTATTCATGGTTAAAACATTTGACTGGTCCTATTAGATCAGAGATTTTTAAAATTTAAGGTTGTCTGTAAGAACTCCTGTTTGTAAGCAACAAGTTTTGAGTGAGCCAACTAGCTGTAAACGAGAAAATGTAATTCAATTAAATTTAAATGAGAAATCTGACAGATTTTTTCATTCGTTGATAACCAAATAGTTTCCATAATATTTACAATATTGACTGGTATGAACAGTGCTAAAGCCAAAGTAATAATAATAAAAAAATGCTCATAAAGATATTAAACAAGTTGGAGGAGTAACTTCTTAAAAATGAGAGATAGAATGAGAGAGTTATAAATAAAAACCACAAAAATTTTAAATTAAACTGCAACATCTAGATTTATTAGTATTTAGACCATTAAAAAAAAAGGCAAAGCTAATGTACAAGATTCAGTTTAAGCAGCCAAGGAAAAAAAATTAGTATATATATATATATATATATATATATATATATATATATATATATATGTAATACTTTACTTAGGTTAGTTACTGATCATCGAGCACTTTAGGCTAACACAGCCATTGACACTAGTAAGTTTCAATTTCAGATTTGATTCTATCAAACTCAGGTATATTTATAATACCCTCCTTTTTTAGAATTTTGCATATAACAGAATTTTCTGCAGAGATCAAAAGCAGAACCTAAGAAAGAAGTAGTTACCAAATCAAAGAAGAAGCATACATAAATAATTAAAGATAACAAAAAATGTTTGTTTATTTAAAACAAAACTTATGAAAAATTTTATTTCAGCATATATATGATTATCTTAGCTTACATACAATAAGCTAAGACAACATTTAGAAACACAAGATAATACCAACATAACACCCAAAAGTATAAGAAAAATAACAGCATAAAATTCAATAAAAATTTAGCACCAAATTTTATGGTTTAAAATAAATTAGTTCTAGAACTGGAAAGTTTGCTAATACTTATTTATTAACAAAACTTAAAAAAACAAAACAACAAACAAACAAAAAAAGAAACATTAATGCTGTAGTTTAGTCAATACAATAAATATGTTTTTTTAACAAACATTTATTGAAAGGATTGGGACTGGAATTTTAAATTTGATTTGATTTGCTTTTTATGATATTTGATTGTTGATGATTCATTTTGTTTTTTAATGTTTGACATTATTTTTCTTTTACATGAAAAGCATTCAAACTTCGCAAAGACTCTGTCATTTTTTTGATAATTCTTAATTTAAGAAATAATAATTGAGTGCTTCATCATTTTTCCTTTTTTAAAACAATCTTTTTTGTTTGTTTAAAAAATAGAAAGAAATAATTTTTATAATTAGCTGATGCCTGTCCAAGATTGTAATTTTTATGTTCTGAAACTGTATTTAGATAGTTAATGTAATCATAAATTCACTAAACATGTCAAGCCTGTATGAAGTCTCACATAATAAAGAGAATGCAGCCCAATGAAATTAATTCTGTATCTGTGGTTATATTCTGTATTTTAGTTTTCTGACAATATTAGTATAAAGTTTATGTAAAAGAAATTACAAACAAACAAATAATTTTTCTTTGAACTCTGCAAGGTTTGTGTTTTCAAAATATTTTGTTGTAAATTCACTGTGGACCAAAGTTACCGTCAGGTTAAGTTGTTCCCCAGGTTTGATTTTTCCTTTTTCAATAGTTGGGTATATATTAGTAGACACCATTTATGACATCAAAAACTTATAAATGATTGGACAAAGTTAAAAAAAATTTGTTAAAAAAAATTTATTTTTAGCCATAAAAATCTTGATAAATTAAGTGAAAACTCAGATGAAAGTCTGCGAAATTATTAAATTGTGTATACAATGGTGGACTGTTTACATAAAACATATGCTGTTTGTCTTACACAGTTCAGTAAAAAGCGATCTAAAATTCAAAAAATCACTCCAGCAATTGAAAAAAAAGATTACAACTTTTGTCTGGAGCCAGTATAGTTTAGATGTAACTAACTATCCCAAGGTTATTTGTAACAATTGCCACAGAAACCTCTATGATCTTGACAAAAACAAGGTGGAGTACCTAACTGGATAGAGAAGATATCCAAGTTAAAATTCATGTTAATCTGTTTTTTTATATACAATAATTATTATTACTTTCTAGTTAAATTTTAAACTGTTGTTTTATTTTGCAATCACACAGTTTCTCAACTAAAAATATAGAATTGAATTTTTTTTAACACATGTTATTATACATATACATGTATTAAAAAATAATACATGTGCTATTAAAAAAATCTTCAGTTTTTATTTTGTATGCGTAGACTTAGGATGTATAAAACTTTACACATTATACATCACTATAAGTATATGTACATACATATTAACTATTTATTCACTGTTTATAGCTTAAAATTTAATTACGAAAAAACAAAAATACCATTTAGTATGCTAAAATAATATCAATTACTGACCAATATTTTTTCCGTTATTTTAAATTGATAAATTGTAACTTAGAAGATCACCAAATATCAATGACATTGTTAATAAAATCAATGCTTCTAATGATTCTGAACGTGCTAAGTCTTCCAGACTGTTTCATGTTCAACGTGCTTTGGTTTTGTAGGTAAGAATTTTATTATTATTATTGTTTTATTTTTTCATATATTTCACATAACTAAATTGATTGCACTTAATAAAGTATTTAACTAATTAAAAATTTTATTCATTTGTTTTCGAACAAAAATATTTATGCAAGGAGTAGCTCATATCTGTACAGAGAGCAGAGCTATCAACAATCTCATTGAAACAGCAGAACAGCTTGGACCTAAATATTTAAAAGGAGTAGACTCAGGCAAGTATATTAAGCTGTTCTTTTAATATAAATACATATTTTAAAATTCCAAACAATAATCAAATTTTATTAATGTATGTTACCAGGTATACTTAAGCACAAGACGGAAGCTAAAAATATTTGTAGAGGACAGAGGTTCAGCTGGCTACTCAAGGGTCTCCTTTGAACATTGAAGTAGGGACTCCTGACAAAAAAAACTGACCGAATTGAGCTGAAACAGGTATCCTTTGTTACTGTTATGGAGTTGGTTAAATCTCTTGAGCTTTCAAAAAATCAAACAAAGAGTTTTTGTTCCAAATATAGATCTAGTATGGGAACTCAAACTTGCATTAAAGCAAACATCTTTGAAAAAATTAAGGCTCTCCATAACCATATAGATGAAGTTTACACTTTTAAAGAAGTAGATTTTATGGATGGAGAAGAAATCATTACTAGAACATTGGTTCAATCTACATTTATACAGCATGTAATTACAGAAAGAGAAATAAATCCACATGACTCCATATTGAGAATAGCTATGGATTCAGTTCAACTGTTGAGGGGGTTTCTGAAGCTAACGATAAACTTTGAAAGCTTATTGAGCCTCTGAATTTAAATGATGTAAAGTTTTACATTGCATTTGATCTTAAATGTGCAAATTCAGTGTTCGGAATTAGTAATCATGCTGGGAAATAGTTGTTTATATTGTGAGGGGTCCTGCACTCTTGAGCCTAGTATCAAGAGAACACTTAGGTCCTTGGATGAACACTACATCAACTTTACTCTTAATAGAAAGAAGAAGTTAAAAATATCACACATAAAAAATGTTATAAATCCAAGACTTAAATACAAATAGGAAGATCCTGAAACTCTTCTTGAGGAGTTGGTTCCTGTTCTTGAGCTCATTGTTCAAATAGGAATAGTAAGTTAAGTAGGTAAGGTTAGTGCATGGCTTTTGTTTGAGAAGTGGTTACAATCAAATTAAATGTTTCAAAGATACTAAGGTGTAGGACTTGACGGAAACAATGCAAGCAAGTTCCTGAAGTTGGTAAATATACTTAAAAGAAATATTATAAACAATGGAAAATAATAGTAAACTGTCTTAGAAAGTTTCAAGCAAAAGTGTTTGGTATGGTAGCAGGGGATAACACCAGCACTTCTGATGTTATCCCCTGCTACCATACCATACATTTAAAAAGTCCTACGCAGATTTGATTGAATATGTGCATGCGATATTTGAGGGTATCGAGCTCAGCGTTACATGGAAAGTTCACATAGCAGTATGTCATATACTTTCTTTTTTCCAATCTACTGACCGCGGCCTACGAGTTTACTGCGAGCAAATAGGAAAAGCTATTCATCATGAATTCAAAAAAACATGGAACAGATACAAATGAAGAGTTAACTATATAGATTATGCAAAACGACTAAAACCTAGTGTTGTTGAGTTTGCATCAAAAAACATTCAATAAATAGAATAATTATATAACTTAATTTAATGTATGTAACTTCAAGTATTTATTGTTAAGTATATTATTTATAGCATTTAGACTTATAATATAACTAGTTAACATAAAGCTTTTTTATTTTGTGCTTTTATTTGTATAGGATAAGTTATAGCTATTTTATGATTTTTTTTTTGAAATTCTTTTTATCGCCCCAGAGGTTTTAAATGTTATAATATTGTCTACTAATATATACCCAACCATTGAAAAAAAAAATCAGACCTGACTATACAGAGACAGAATATACAGAGACTTACTCTTGAGCAGGGTATTAATATCTTTCAATGTGGGACTTATAATTCACTTAGATCTATTTTACTACCATGCAAAATCAAAGTTATTTGAAAAAATGCATGGCTAGAATTGTTCCCTAATGTGGTTATCCTAATTGATCATTTCTCATAGTTTTAAGTTTTATTCACATTTAGAGAGCTGAGACCAAAAAGACCACTAAATCAAAGAACTCTCATTTAATTTAAAAAAGGTAGTAACAACAAACATTGTTATAACCCTCTCTACATTTAACTTACATTTTAACATGAACCTTTATGAATAAGGCCACTGAGCAGAGAAACAAGTTTATTCAAATTTAAAAGTATATATTTTTGTATATATAAAACATATCAAAACAATAACAACAAAAAAACAATATTAATGATTTTACCTTACGTTGAAAATCTCCATCAAGAGCTGCAACTATTACAGTTTTTTTCATTCCAGCCATCTCTTCACAAAATTGTACAACATCAGGGTACTAAAGATTTTTAAACTTTATAAAATCCATTCAACTATATATATATATATATATATATATATATATATATATATATATATATATATATATATATATATATATATATATATATATATATATATATATATATATATATATATATATATATATATATATATATATATATATATATATATATTAAATTTATGTATCTAAAAAGCCTCTGAAGGAGGCCATTCACTTTAGTGTGAGCAGCTTTCCACAAAACTTAAAATGCCCGATTTGTATGTTTTTGAATGGAAGAAAATTAAAAGCAATACTGGCCACAGGTGCTTTAAATCTTTCTTAATTATGACATTATAAATGTGAAAAACATCACACCAACTAGAGAAAACGTTGTCATGATGAATTTAATTCATTATTAATTCAAATAATATTATATTTAAAACTGTATCAAAAATTGTAAAAAAAAAATGGAAATCTGGATTATAAAAGTTATTAGGTAAAATGCTGATTGCAGTTATTTAAATATTAGTTGCGTTATTTATAACAAGCCTTCTTAGAAGATGCGTGTGGTTTTTTGTCTTATTTATCCACAAAATTTTTTTTTATTCAAACAACTTGGTCATAACTGTTTTATTATATTATAGTTTTAATACATTTTAGCATTTCAATACTTAGAAGAAAAAACTTTCAAAAAAAAAACAAAGAAAGCAAAAATAACAAAATAGGAAATTAAAATAAATTTAAAAAGAAAAAATAAACAAAATTTAATATTTTAATTGATTTGTGTACTCTTTTTTTTTTGTTTATTTAGGGTAGTTGTTATTTTAAGCAACAAAATTGGCTAAGGCAAAGAAAAATAAGTTTTAATAGTAAAAATAAAATAAAAAGCCGACTTTAAAAGGATTGGTTTTTCTATATTTTATTTGTTTTTTTAAAGGGGCAAGCGAAAATATAAATTGCTATCAGTTTGTAATACATATTTGTTAATTTTAATGTAACAAGTATATATTGTCCCTATATAAATACGTCTATGTAATGCATGTTTATATATTTATATACACTCATATATTGGTTTTTTTATGTATGCATATATATACATATATATATATGCATACATAAAAAACTGCTCATATATTTGCATTGTAAATTTTATCTTTTCTTTTTTGTATATAAAAAATCTCTCTGTTGTATGTTTTAAATGATTCACATCTTTTCACATTTAGATTTCTTATACCATTCAAGCCTCTCAGTATATTTTCTAAATAAGATGCACACACATATATAGTTTTTAAGCTTTAATTATGTTATGCTGCACATTTTTCACATATATAAGTACTGGTCAAAATTATAGCATAAATGTAAAATAAAAATTGAATATAAAAGTTTAATTGTTGAATGAAAAGTTATAATTATTTTTTTATTTGAAGAATAATATTTTACTTTTTACAAAAATGAATGAAATTTGAAAATACATTTAAAGTTAACATGTTTTAAAGTTCACTTATGATAATACAGAAAAATAAGCTGGTCAAAATTATAGCACATAGTACTAATTTAAGATAAAAAAAAAAAAAAAATTGATGTAATATGAAGAAATGCTGGATTTATTAGCTCTAAAAATTTGAGAAACACAATCTGGAACGGAATTTACCAATTTAATGCAAACATCAATTGAAGTCGTGTCCCAAGTGTCTTGAATTGCATCCTTTAGGTCATTGTGCGGCTTATGTTGTAGTTTTGGAGTTTTTGGTCAATAATTGACCAAAGATTTTCAATCGGATTTGCATCTAGTGAAGTGTTTAGCAATTCAAGGAGCCAAATATTCTTCGTTGCAAACCATTCCAGAGTTTTTTGCTTTGTGACACAGTGCGTTGTCTTGCATAAAATAACAATTTTCAGCTTTAGAATCTAAACGAGTGTCTACAAAGTCATGTAATTCAGCAATAACTTCTAAATAACATGCAATAACCATTCAAACAACCTTTGTTTAACTTCAACAAACTTATTCCATTTGTAGAAAAATATCCCCATACAGAAATAGTTCCACCACCACCTTGTGCTCTTGTTATAAAATTAAATAGTAAATCTTTTTTATTAGGAAGACGACATACAAACTTGCGATTCTTTTTATTTATGACTTCAAAATGTGATTCTTTGCTAAATTTTTTCTTTTGCAGCATTCAACTCCATACCAATTTTTCTACTTGAACCAGTACGATTTTTTTAAAACAAGTGTCACTATATAGCTTCTGTAGAACTAGTCCACCCATGACATCCTTGACCTGGTCAATTGATAAACTCAATTTAATTTTATCAGTAATATTATAGACAAATTTTCTAGAAGTTTTAGCACGTTTAGCAATATCAGCAATATTAAATTGCAGTTGAATTAAGTTTTTTACAAGTTGTCGCAGGTCAGAGCTCACTGCTTTGCAACCCATTGCATAAATTTTGTTTTAACTTTAAAATTACTGAGAAAACTTTGAAAAATTATAAGATTTGCTATTTTAAATAACTATGATGCTAGTAGATAACTAAAATATCATACATAACAATCCCTCAATGCACTTAATCATTCACACTGTCAAAATTATGTATGAACATGAGTGTGCTATAAATTTGACCAACATCTCTTGCATATGCTTGTAAATTTGTTCATTTCTAAAATGAATAATGAACAAAATTTTTAATTTTACGTGGACATTTTAAATGACTAGTGTAAACACAATTCCAAAGTACCTCTCAACAATATGATTAATGCATACAAAAATATTACATCACAATCTTTATTTAATAGGTTGTGCTATAATTTTGACCAGTACTTTATATTAATTGTTTCATATTACCTTTCTATTCCTGTACATTTTTTATTCCCTTATCTTTTAAGGCTTTGTAATTTTGGATACATTTGCTTTTTAACCTTTGGCTCAGTGTGCTTAGTTCTACCTGCCCTTCCCTATTGGTCTACTATGGGGTAATTACACATCAAATCACCCAAAATTTAGGAAATTTTGAACCATGGTTCCTCAAATTTTTTAAAATTTTCTTTGGCTGTTGCATCTTAAAAAGAAAAGTTAAATTTCAGCGGTTAAAAAAATGTTGAGCGGTTGACAAGATACTGCAATTTTAACATTGACCTGGTTTCCTAAAATGACCCGGTTTTCATAACATTGCAAAAAAAACATTTTTCTTAAAAAAAAAAGAAAAAAAAAAAAAAAAAAAAAAAGAAAAAAATATGAAAATAAACATAAATGTTTTTTTTTTTTGAATTTTTGCTGAATTCAATAAACGTACTTAAAATGCTCAAATATAAAAGGAACACGCTAAAAAGTTAATAAAACAACTAGTTTCTATAAACCAACTTTGGGGCCCAATATCTCACAACACCACAGTAAAATTTTTTTTTCCGCTGTCAATATTTTCAGCTGCTTATAATCTTACTAGGCACAACAAAATCTAACTGGAAAAACAATTGAAACATATGGAACTTTAATTTTAAAGATTTATCAAATTTTCAATAAATTAGTTTAAAAAACTTGCTAATAGAATTATAAAATTAAATTTAGTTTATAGACTCCTTAAAAGAAAAAAACAAAATAAATTTGTTATATTTAAATAAGCCTTAATTATATAACTTAGTTATTCTTTCTTAACAACTAAAAAAACATCCTGTTTTGTTTTTAAAATTTTGACAACTATTGTTTGTAAAAGTTTATACAAAGTTCAATAAAAGAACAACATTTATAGGTTATTATTTTATTTAAATTTTAAAAATTTAATATATATATATATATATATATATATCCTCATAGTGGAGTCGAAAGAGACTTATATGGTAAAAAAAGTCTTTTTCGACTACAATTTTGCCTCTTCAGCTGCATTTTATTGTCGTCGAAATGTCAAAGCAATTATATTAATGCGGAAGTACATTAAATTTTATTGTTTTTTAAAAAACCCGCAATAATAATGACTAGAAAGTTTTTTTTAATTAGTGGTGTTTATGTTTTTTTTAAAACATTTTTAAAACATGCGTAAGTGTTGCTTCATCGACTATCTTATAGCCTGACTCGGAAAGGAGTGCTGCTACATCGACTGACAAATAGCCTGACTAGCAAGGGAGTGCTGCTACATCGACTGACAAATAGTCTGACTCGCCAGGAAGTGCTGCTACATTGACTGAAGGTTTGGTTTGGGCAGGCAGTCTATCAATTTAACATTTTCTGGTTAGGCTTATTAACATGCTCTTTAAAACAACAGTTTATGGGAGAAACTTTGTGACTACCATGCAAGACTATATATATATATATATATATATATATATATATATATATATATATATATATATATATATAAATAAATTGTATATTAGGGTGCATCTAGTGCCCCAACATTTTGAAAATTTTGTCAAAAGTGTTAGCCCCCAATTTAATTCTGTTCCTCTTACCAAAACAACAATTTTGATGCAGTTTCAGAAAATTTGAACGTTATCTAGGTGGTCCATCGAGCAAACAAAGTTTTGGATATAATCGGAAAATTAGCTATATTTAAAATTAATTAACATATTCTAAAACTACGTTAATTAATCTTAAACAAATTTAATTAAACAAAGCTCATTTATTGAGCCAAAACACTTATTATGATAAACAGTTACACAGCAAACAGTGAGGCTAACAAATTAAGAATGTTTGTATAAACTTGAGTTTGAACAAAAGGCGGTCAAACGCCAATGAAAACAGTGTCAGTCAGTCATTCAACTCATTTCTTGCGTTTTCTAATGTCTGGCCACATTTTCCGGTCTTTCTCGACAACCTGCAAGACATTTTGATAATGTTTTTCACACTTGGCTGTTGATATGAAGTCTGAGCTGAGCTTCACCCCTCTCTCCGCACTGTCATTCACCACATTCAATGCTTGAATGTTAATCATCGAAACCTGATATGAAGCGCAACTAGGCCAGTTCACAACGTCCTCAGTCAGAAACTTGGAGTCAAGCTGCAGTTGTGTCAAATGCCATG